CAAGTCCATGGGACCTGATGAGATGCATCCATGGATCCTGAGGGAACTGGTGAATGAAGTGGCTATGCCACTGTTCATTATGTTTGAGAAGTCCGGTGAAGTTCTTGCTGACTGGAAAAGGGGAAATGTAAACCCCATTTTTAAAAAGGGAAAAAAGGAAGACCTGGGAAACTACGGTCCAGTCAGTCTCACCTCTGTGCCTGGTAAGATCATGGAGCGGATCCTCCTGGAAACCATGCTGGGGCACATGGAAAATAGAGGTGATTGGTGACAGCCAACATGGCTTCATGTGCTGAGTTTGTTTGGCAGGGGTTTTGGTAGCAGGGGAAGGGCCTACAGCAGTGGCACCCTGTGAGAAGCTCCTCGAAGCTCTGCCAGCTCCAAGTCAGGCTCGTCTCTGGGCAGGGCCAAGCCAATTAGCCTCTGCAATGATGTATTTAAGAAGGGGGAACCTGAGAGGGGGTTGGGATTTGTGAGAAGGAGTTCTAGGGAGGGAACCTATGCAAACGCCAAGGTCAGTGGAAGAAAGGAGGAGGAAGGGGGAGATGTGCCCCAGAGAAGAGAGTCCCCCTGTATCCTGTGGTGTGGTGACAGTGCTGACCCCTCTTGCCACCTATGGAGGCTACCAGTGGAGCAGACATCTGCCTGAGACCTGTGAAGGACCCCACATCAGAAGAGGTGAATGCACTTGAAGAAGACTGAGTCTCAGAGGAGAAGCAGCTCTCTCTGTTGTAGATTGTTGCTGGGAGGACTGCAATACAGAGGGGTTATTCATGCCAAAGAATCCCAGAGGAAGGGCTCACATCAGAGAAGGTTTGTGGAGGACCTTTCCCCATGAGAGGGATGCCACACTGGAACAGAGGAGGAATGTGTGGAGTTCCCCCCCACCATGAGGAGGAAGGAGTGGCAGACTGATGGTAAACCCCATTTTCTGTCCCCTGTACCACTGTGGGAGAGGAGGTAGAGAGAGTGGGAACACAACTGAGCCCAGGAAGAAGGGAAGGGTGGGGCCAAGTGTTTTTAAGATGTGGTAACACTTCTCACTGTCCCGTTTTTTTCTGTTGTGTCATTATTGTTAGTGTTTGTATTAAAGTTATGTTCTTTTTTCTTTCCCTAACAAGTCTGTCTTTCGTCTGTGAACATAATGAGTGAGTCATCCCTCTCTGTCCTTATCTCACTTCCCAAGCCTTTTGTTTCATTTTCTCCTTTCCCTTCCTGAGGGGGAAGGGGTGATTGAACGGCATTGTGGAGCACAGTTTCCCTCTGGGCTCAAACAATGACACTTCACTAAGGGCAAATCACGCATGATAAATTTGGTGACCTTCTACAATGGGGTTACAGCATTGGTGCATAAGGGAAAAGCAACTGACTTCCTCTATGTGGACTTGTGAAAAGCATTTGACACCCTTCCATATGACATCCTTGTCTCTAATTTGGAGAGACATGGGTTTGATGAATGGACCACTTGGTGGATAAGAAATTGGCTGGATGTTCTCACTCACAGAGTTTTGGTCAATGGCTCATTGTCCAAATGGAGAGCAGTGATGAGTGTCATTCCTCAGGGGTCGGTATTGGGACCAGTGCGCTTTAACATCTTTGACAGAGACATGGACAGTGGGATTGAGTTCACCCTCAGCAAGTTTGACGATTGCCACGCAGTTGACACTTTCGATGGAAGGGATGTGCCATCCAGAGGGACCTGGACAGGCTGGAGAGGTGGGCCCATGCAAACGTGATGTTCAATAAAGCCAAGTGCAAGGTCCTGCACGTGGGTCAGGGCAATCCCCAGCACAAATGCAGGCTGGGTGATGAGTGGATTGAGAGCACTCCTAAGGAGAAGGACTTGGGGGTATTAGTGAATGGAAAACTGAATATGAGCCAGCAATGTGCACTCGTAGCCCAGAAAACCAACCATATCTTGGGCTGCACCAAGGGAATTGTGGCCAGCAGGTCGAGGGAGAGGATTCTCCCCCTCTACTCCGCTCTCATAAGACCCCACCTGGAGTGCTGTTTCCACTCTGGGCCTTCCAGCATAAGAAGGACAACATGGACCTGTTGGAGCGAGTCCAGAGGATGCCCACAAAGATGATCAGGGGGCTGGAGCACCTCCCTTATGAGGACAGGCTGAGAGAGTTGGGGTTGTTCAGCCTGGAGAAGAGAAGGCTCCAAGAAGACCTTATAGTGGCCTTCCAGTGCCTAAAGGGGCTACAGGAAAGATGGGGAGGGACTCTTTATCAGGGAGTGTAGGGATAGGATGTGGGGATAACAGTTTCAAACTGAAGGAGTGTAGATTTAGATTAGGTATAAGGAAGAAATTATTTACTGTGATGGTGGTACAGGCTGCCCAGAGAGGCTGTGGATGCCCCCTCCCTGGCAGTGTTCAAGGCCAGGTTGAGCAACTTGGTCTAGTGGAAGATGTCCCTACCCATGGCACGAGAGGTTGGAATCAGATGATCTTTAAGGTCCCTTCCAACCCAAACCATTCTATGATTCTGTGATGTCCTAATTTTTTATACATACATATATGTGTGTGTGTGTATATATATATATATATATATATGCACACATACCAATTCTCGCCTGGGAAAGTTGAGTTTTGATAAATGATTGGTTTCCTCCAATCTCACATCTCATCTGAGTGAGCAAGTCACTTGACAATCTTGTGCCTCGAAGTCAGGCAGTTAATTCAGACTATGTTACAGCTAAACACTTCTCTCACTTGCCTGCTCTAAATACAAGCCCATGTGATTTTCTAATTTGCATAATATCTTCTGACAAGCTGACTCTGAAGTCTTCTTGGGTGATTTGCTTCTCTTTGCAAAACAAAATGGGAGACAGTAGCATCCAAGGGAACAAGTGTATCTATTTCCCTTGGATTGAGTGACTTCAGCTCTTGGAGCTCTGGTTCCTCTGGAGGTAATGGGATCAGAAATTATGCAGCTGCCATGGAGATAAGAGGCAGAAAACCTCTAAAGGGATCTGGATCTACGTCAAGTGGGTCATCTCTCCAGCTTCCTGTTACACAAACCAGCAGGTGCTGAGATGCAGCTCTTCTCCAGACAATGATAAAACTGCCCTAGTGTCACCCATGCGTGACAGCCAGGAGGGTGATATGAGCTGGACGTTTAACTCTGTGCTTTCTTTCCCTGAAATAACATGCAGTGGTGTTCTGCCTCTTGCAGAGCTGAGAATTGAGACAGATTAATCTTTGCTAGTATTTAAAAAAAAAAAAAAAAAGTTTCCTGTGGATTATCTTTTCACAGAGCCATAAGCCTTTGAAAATTTGGTCCCAATGTATCTTGCCTATGAAGTCAATTAGCTCCTAAAATGACAACACATTAGAAAGAACCCAGAAGCTGATATAGCAATACCTTGCTTTATTAAGCCTGGCCAATTTTCTGTCAACAAAAATTATGCTTCTGAAGTGATGTGGAACAAGAATCAAACATGAAAGCATACAAGTATCCACTTTTGAGCCCTTGAACAGTTATAAGAAGCCACTTCTTGGTATTTCTGCTACACAGAATGAATTTTCATTACCTGAAGTATCTATTATCTAATGAATAAAAACCCCTCCATTATGCATTAAAGTGTAGTATGAACAAAAACTCTGAAAAACATACATTACCTCATGGTTAATTCTTGTGGCAGAAATGGTATTTTTAGTGACATGTGTGGCATGGATGATGTGTCACCAACCATACTACTGAGCTTGCAGTCAAACTTCATCTTGACTTCTAAACAACAGAAGCAATGAATTTGAACAATAAATGTGTGCTGGTTTAGAAAACATGTAGGTTTTTTTCATCAGGAGATCACGGTCCAGTTCCTTGGTTGTGGCTGAGGAACTCAGTTCCCAAATCCTGAGTGGGTCATATGCAGTCCAAAACCTATGGCAAATTGAAGTTATAGCAATCTAAAAATGGCAGAAATAGTCCTAAACACCAAGGACAAGTCTGGAGATGTCAGGCCATCCCTGATCTGGGAGGAAATAATTGTGCACCAATCCAGCTGTAGGCACAAAATCCGCAAGGTTTATAGTCTGGATAACCTCCAAATGCTGGAACCTGCCCTGATGGCTTTGCTCTTCCCTTTATAGCACATTAAAGGAAATGTGGAGAAATGGGGAAAATACATTCCTTCAGCTCCCAAGGAAAGAGAGTTTACTCTAAGTCTTGAAAGATCCAGTCGCTGTTTGAGCATTTGAGGACGGTGTCCCACATCTGCATCGTGTTCTGCTCCCTTTCTAGTATGTCATACTTTTCCTACTGGCAGCAAACTGGACAGAAGTGTGTGCTAACATCTGAATTTGTCACAATATATGCCATGCTCAATCCCAGCTACTCCATTCCAGTTTTGCACACAGGGAAGTAGAGCCAAGTACACTCCAGTTGTGCACTTTCATGAACAGGCAGCCTTAATGGCAGGGATAGCCTAACGACCTACTAGGCTAAACACAGAGTTGGTTAATAGCATGAAGTACTTTAGCCTCTGTGTCAGCTGTAAGAAATATAAGTGATTTAGCTATTTGGGGCATAGTGGCAATAGCTGAATTACACCCTGGACAACACAAAGAACAAGCACAAAGACTAAGAAGAGCGCAGCTCCAACAGAAAGAGGAGTGCCTGTGTTGTGGCTGGGTCAAGTGCCTTTAACCTCAGGTAGCAGATGTGAAGATGGACAGGGAGTGGTGCAGTTAACACAGTGCTCTGAGGAGGTGTGAGGAACCATGAAGAAGAGCAAAACACTGTTTACAGAAGCCAAACAGCAGAGGCTGAATCTGCTGTGATAACAAATCCATAAAGTTATACTGGAGCACTAGTCATGAGGAGCAGGAGTTTGGCAGTGTGCCTGTGACTGTGGAAATAATGGATATTTTCAGTTAGGTGGCCAGAACCAAAAAAAGGAGAAAAAAATCAGTCTGAGTTGTCCAAAACCATTTTTCCCCTTTTTTCAGCAAGGAAAAAATAAACTATTTTGAGCCAAAGAAATGTTTTCTTCAACCCAAAACATTTTGTTTCCCCACATCTTTCATGAGAGGAAAAGAAAAGGGCAGTGCAGGACTCATTTCCCATCTAGCCTCATGGTTACTCTTGATGCTGAGGAGGGTGCAGGTGGTCAAAGGACTGCCCCCTTCTTCCTCCATAACCCAGTGGCCCAGGCCTTCCCCTGCAATATCGGTGGAGATTACCGAACCACTCCAACAGCAAGGGAAATGAGCCGAAGAAGCATAAAAAGCCCCATCCACACTTTCTGCAAGATGCTGTAAGCTCTGCGAAAAGACACACAGGGAACAAGGTCAGTACCACTATGGAGAGGTGACCCAGAGCACAGGCATCCTCGGGTGTTTGATTTTTGACTCAGGAAAGAGTTAAAAGCCACATTAAGAAAGCCTGGAGAAGAGGTTCAGGCATGGGTTAGCTCTTGTGCAAGAAGCTTGGAAGAAGGTCAGGCTCCAGTGAGGTAGGTGGGAAATGTAGGGTTACTTTATGGGATGGAGTGGACGCAAGATGAACTAAAACACTCAAGATAGAGTGCAGCTTTTTGCTTCTTTTTTGGCACAGAACTATAAATTAGTTGTGGGAGAGAGACAGAGAAGGGAGAAATTTCAAACAGCAAAGAAGGGAATAAGACTGAAAAGGGTAAATATTCATCAGCTCAGACAAGGTGATAATAATTGGGTACTTATATAGCAAGGGTAGCTGAGTGTCAGGTTTTGGTCCAAATATTCAAGTATCTTTTGCTCTGCATACTCAAGTATTTTTAAACTTAGTGAAAGAATTTTGACAGAAAAGAGAGTCGATACCCAAAAATACCCTAAAGCTCAATAGTGAAGGGCCCTTCCAAAACTACAAATCAGAGGAAGAAGGCACTGGAGCTCAACACTCTCCTATCCCAAGTGTGTGTCCTCACACTTGGATGGCGAGTATGCACGTAAAGATGCATATAAGAATGCAATGGAGGGAAGGCAGAAGAAGGAGTTAAAAGGGGTTTTCTTTATTAATGATTCCTCCAATTTTCAAAGAATCTGTCAAATCACAGAAACTGCAAAAGGGAAATCTCTGGGTTGAAAATGTTACTACTAAGTCCATTGAATTAATTTGTTCTTTTCTTTTTTTATTCCCTGAAAATATTTGCTGAAGTGTTTTTTCTGACAGTGAAATAAATGATTTGCTGATAAGAATTTTTCTTGATACTAGTAGCACCATATACTTCAACTAAATATATCAAGCAAGTAGAATACAGCATCTACGGCCTTACACCAAAGCACGTACATAGATACCTAGCTTCTGTTGAAAGCTGCAATTTAAACCCTGTAAAGGAAAATGTACAACCCAAGTATTGATTTAAATGCCATAACTTTAGCTACATGCCCTCCAGTCAAAGCTGTGTCTTATTGCACTGCCTCCCCTCTGCCTGGTAGCACAAGGCAGCTGCTCAGAATATGGGTAACAGTCACACAGTCAGAGAAGAGAGCCTGGAATTAAACAAAGTCCATTTCCTCCTCCGCACACTGAATCTTGGTAATTCAGACGATCATAAATAACCTTTCCCAGGGAATGCTGAAAGCCCTCACCAGCAAGTAGCACAAGTACATTGTGAACTGTTTCTATACAACTTAATGAAATTTTTTTTAAATGGTTTTTAGGGAAAAAGCAAACACAGATAAGCTTTCAGCCTCCTCAAAATCCTCCTCAAATCCAAGTCTACACAACACATAATTAGGAGCAACATATAATAACACTTATTTAGAGTCTGTTGTGATTTTGTCCACACTGTTGGGAAGAACACAGTACGTTAGGGACCTCATCCCAGCCTGAATGATGAATAGTAACACCATCTCGTTTCCCAAGCAAGGCTAAGTGAAACCTGGATTTACTGTCACAGATAGGTAGCAAAATGTATCTTAAATATTAGGGCCCCCCTTTCAATGAATCCAGTCCTAATAAAGAAGCATTGCATCCCATGAGTTTCTGTGACAGCTTTTTCTTCTTTGTCCCTAGCACCCGTAGTGATCTTGCAATATTTATGGGAGGAGACTAGAGTACCTTTACACCCCACACCTGAAGCCTTGCTGCTCTCTGCTCATTGACTAGTGGGTACGTGGTGCATGTCATCCCTTTTCACTGCATACTGCAGGCAGCAGCACCCCCGGCACTGGCACCCACAGCCCAGCAGCAGGCACAATGGGGTGCTGCGGTCTCCACTCCCACGTACAAGCTGAGGCACCATTTAGACACTCCAGAGTCCTGCTTCCTTCTTACACTGTGTGTGGTGATGTTTAAATCCTCCTCCAAACTTCCAGTACTCTCCTTCTGCTCCCATGGTCTGCTTTGAAGAGCAGAAGCATCCACAGACAACCCTTGTTTCTGTGGCACGATCCTGCTTTTACCAGTGTGATGAATAAGATGGCAAGTCCTGGTTTTCAAAAAAAACCCTACCAACTTGAGAAGTAGCCAATTAAAAAAAAAAATAATCTGGTTATTTCCTGTCTCCTACTCAGATCAGTCTGAAAATGAAACACTATGCAAGCACAAAAAGTTATTATGTGACTCGCAGCCTCCAGCTATTCTGACTTCACTGGATGCCTTACAAGCATCTATTGTTCTTGGAGATAGCCTGAGACGTGCTTCCCAGAGAGATGATTATATATTCTTGCTAGGAGGAGGAAAAAAATGCTCTGATACTGTGTCATGTCACCTTTTTAGTGGTATCTCGTATGCAGTATGCTGTGGAAGTGTGAGAGGAAAGAAAGCAAGCTTGTTATATGACTAGTGGTGTTGGACCACTTACACTATGGACCCAAGACCATGTGTTTTACTCATGGTTGACTCTGACTACCTCTGTGCTCCTTGACAGGTCTAAGTACCTTTATACTCTGCCCTCCAAAACAGTAACCTTTCTATTTGGTTGTGAAAGCTTTTTTGCTGATTTCAAAAAGATAATTGTCTGCCTCCCCCCCAGAAGCTGCTCGTGCATGCTTCTGCAGGGCTGACTCTATCTGAAGACGCAGGGCATGATCTCCATCTGAAGAGCTGCCCCTGCAAAGGGTGGGTCCCTTGCTATCACTGTGTGCCTTGGCAAACCGCTGCAGAGCTGGCAGAAGCTCTCCTGCAGACCTCATGGAGGCCTGAGCTCAGCCCTCTGCGATGGGGTGAGTTGCTTATATGGTTGACATACGGATGGGAATGTGCAGCAGGAGCTGGTGACGGGGTGCTCTCTGAAAGCACACACAGAGCTCTTCATCCACACAGTCAACCGCAAGCTCGCTCCAAGGGAGAGTATCCAAATACTCGAGAACTGTGATTGCATGCTGCAAGGTATGGCACCGTGATTTTCCAATCTCAGTAAACTTGAAAAAATGAGTATTGAACCTGCATAATGCTGTGTGGATTGCTAATTTATAAACAAGCTTCCACACCCGCTAGAACTAAACATCAAACAATTTTCCTTTTTGGAACTGGCTTCTGGGGAAAGGAACAAAACTCCTTAGTGAAGGAGAGCATCAGCTTGATTCTGCAGGGCCAGGAGCTAGATCTAGGCAACACAACATTATGTGGCAGTAAGAACAAAGGCTTCATCCCCATCTCCCCAACGACACTCACAAACAATACACAGCTATATTGCTGGTGGTTGCAAGGAGCCACTACTCAGCAGCATGCTGTGGTATTACTTAAAGTAGTATAGCAAGTAAAAGGGAGAAAAGAGCAGGTGACAGGGGTACTTCCTCTTTCCCACCAGAACTGCAGCTGCTTGCAGTGGGTCCCACCTTTCCCAGTCATCCTTGTCAAGAACAAGAAGAGCAGTAGGATGCTCACCGCAGTGGTCCTGGTTGCTCCCACCAGTTTGCAGGATGGATGAGGAAACGCGGCAGGATCCCCTTTCCTGGTTAGATTTAATCCAGAGAAGAGGTGACACGTATTATATCATAGTGGATTATGATTTACACAGCAGTCCATGCTGAGATTTTATATTCTGGATAATAGTTAAATGCTTCTGAAGTCCTATTATCTCATACAGCACAGAGCTAGAAAGCTAAAAACAAGAAAGCGGTGAAACATAGCAAGATAAATCACAATCTCTATAACATAGTAACAGTGACTCTCCCTCAGATTTTGTTTTCTTGTTTCTTTTAGGGAACAATTTGCAGAACAGCTTGTTATTACATTCGCTCAGCCCTGATGTGCTGTTTCAGTTATGGTACTCTCCTCTGACACCTCTCCCAACAGGATTCATTTGGGGGAATCACAACAGGCTCCTACAGGAGAGCCTGTCAGGCAGACAGGGAAAGAAAACCAGGACAAAAGCGGGAAGAAAGCAGGAGATGGGTCTTGTCAAACCCCTATATGAGAAACCCGAGCAAATGTCCATTTATTCTGTTCATGTGAATCTCAGGGCAAAATATCCTGTGAAGGTAGGGAGGGTGGTTTACAGCTGCTGGACAGAAGAAGACTTTAAAGCTGAAATGCATGCATCAAACCAAGAAACACTGAAACTGGGGCAGGAGTTTATGCCCTGGCTAACCTCAGCTCAATCTCAAATGGGAAAACCAAAAGGACATGAATCCAGTGCCTCCCTTAGAGACTGGTCACAGACAGGGGATCTTTAAAAATAAAATAAAATAAAATAAAATAAAATAAAATAAAATAAAATAAAATAAAATAAAATAAAATAAAATAAAATAAAATAAAATAAAATAAAATAAAATAAAATAAAATAAAATAAAATATACAAGACTTGAAAAGAACAGGGAGACAAGCAGGTTTAAGGTAACTGAATGGCAAGATTTAGTGATCTGATTTGTTTCCCCCTGTCGGACTGTTTCTCCCCATTTCTCCATGCTGGTCTTTGAAGCTGAGATATCCCATGTCTCCCATCCCAGGGTGCTTGAGGCAGGATGAGCCCCATCAAGCTGCAGCACTGCAGAGTATGGGGGGGCCACAAGCTGTGGCCATCCCCACATTTGGAGATGAATCATTTCTAGCAACACTGCCCCAGGTGAGGGGCACACCTGGCCACACGGAGGGGAGACAGGCAGAGGAAACAGAAATAATGCAAAGCTACCATGGAGGAAGGAGGAGGAAGCCAAACCAAGGCAGAAACTGAACTGGTGACACTCTGAAGGTTGGAAAGTAAAGTTTTCTCCTCTTTTATTTCTGCTTGAACCTGTCACAAATTTGCTATAATGTGTATCAGGCAGGAAGGGGGAGTCTGACAGAGATAACAGCAGGTGTGGGAGGTGTTTCACATGCTCTCAGAAAGTTACTTCTGGGAATTTCTTGTGACACACACAAGACAAGTGTGCAAGAGACAAACAATGCATTAACTGTCCTGCTCAGGGACTGCTCTTTCTTGCCATCCCAAACCACAGTGCTCCAAAAAGAGTTGCCAAAACCCAGGGACACAGGAACTGCTTCAAAGACAAAGCAATTACTCTTGCATGAACCTCCCCGAATTTTGGGGTTGAGGGCAGGGTAGCCCTCACTCCTTCCAAACACTTCATCCAAAATGTCTTGAAAAGCCTTTATGGACACTCCAGACTGATCTGCATTGCTAATAAAACATTATGAACTTTTATAGCTTCTCTTCTAAGACAAAAAGCCATATAATGGTTCCTCACAGCATCCCTGTGAGATCAGCAGAGATTATATAATCTTTATTTTATTCAAATAGGAATAGGGAGAGAGAGGGCATGGGCCACTTCAAAATTCATATCCACGGGATAATTAGGTGCCACAAACATAATGAGGAGAAAACACAGGAAACTAAGCACCTACACCACTGCTTTAAGTCTTAAAGTGTCTGGACAAAATGATGCTTTTTAAAGTCTCTGACACATCTGAGAATAAAGCTCTCATTTCCTGATTTGCAGAGATGCCCTTTATCCAGAAGACTTTTTGCAAAAGAAGTTACGTTAACAGCAGCCTGTTAACACAAAGAAGCACATCAGCACTTACCATGAAGATTGCAGCCTGCTCCTTCTACCCTGGCTGTGTGATCATTGATCTAAGTCTCCCTTATCCTAGGTGGCAATGACCACTACTTTATATTAGACGTAATATTTCAGTGTTGTTTTCACCCCACCCATGTTGTACTGAGGGTCAAGAGGCACAAATAAGCTTCACCTCCTTAACATCCAAAATTTAGGACTCACATGGACTAAGCCTTTTGCTGTTACTCCATCATGATGCAAAAATTAAGCTTCACATGAGATTCAGTGACAGGTAAAGGCAGAAATAGAATGACCTAGATTTCTTGTCAACTAAAGCCCCCTTCTGCTTTGAGGTCACTCTAGAGATGGAGGGCATGAATATTCGTAAATAAACTAAATTAAAATTCTTCTGATTCTATAAGTCATGTAGATGAGTTTATAGCCTGCCGTGCTGGAATTGAAGGTTATCAGCTCGTGAGTAGTCAAGGTCCCTCAGACCCACAGGAGTAAGAACTAGAGCTTAGCAAATCATTTGCAACTAATATTTTTTTCATGAATTTCACCTTTGTCTGAGAATTCTCTATAAACAGATTGCAACATTCTCTAATTTATTCATTATTTATGTTCAGTAGTAATGTCAGCAAATAACTTCCTCTCTGTAGAGCAGGCCATTATAAATTACAATATGCAATATGTGCCATATCCATCTATCTCCCTTTCTATTCCCTGGTAAGGGGAGTTAGGTAACAAAGCAGCACAGTGTAAATTTTACGAGAATATAAACTATTCAGAATTCACTGATGGTCAGTACATGAGCATCTCTGTTTAAAATTCACTCAGCAAGCCCTCATGCTTGTAGAGCTTGAATATACAAATAAATGTAGAAGTCAAACACAGAAGGACTGCTGAACTCAATCAAATCAAAATTCACTTTCAAATTCAAATTATTACATACTTTTTTTTTCTGTTTTCCTACTCACTCCACTCTTCTGGCTAGCAAAGAAGTATTACACATAGCAGCTTCAGGTCCAGGAGGGTCTCATGAACCTTCCTTCTCTTCTTTTTACAAAAATAATTTATTACTATTTTTATCTACATTATCAATCAAAAGTTCTCCAGTGTCCACTTCAGCAGAAACCATGATGCTGTCAGTCGCTTATAATCATCCTCTTTTGCTGAAAGCAAATTATTTCAGTATGAAATTAGACACTGGCTCACTAGAAAAGTTCCCTTTCTCACCTCTGCTCTCTGCCAGGTCCCCTTGGAAAGCTGAGGTGGGGCTAGAAAATACAAACTGACATGAAACCAAGAAGGGTTGAGTTTCACAGGGAAAGCATTGTTCAGCTAGCACCACGGAGGACTAGGCATTATGTTCATGGAAAGCTTAATCCATTGCCAAATTCCCAGGAAGGATTTAACCAAATTTATGCCCAGTCTCTAGTTCATTTTACATTTGAGTTGCAGACTGTGCCTCAAGCACATCTGAGCGGGTATCCCACAGTGCTGGGCTCTCCATACCACGCCCTAAGGATGTAAGCCAGAACTCCATTCCCTCCATTATATTCCCTGTAATTGTACTACACACTGCATTTCTATGTTGTGTGGACAAACACGCCCATCTGAACGATGCCGTCTACCCAATCCCCAAATGATTAGACAGCATGTGCATCTTTATAGCACTAGAGCCACACTAAGTCTTCTTGCAGCTACAGGGAAATATTTAGCAGGGCAGGATCTTTGCTTCACAGACCTAGAAAGGCTGAATCTTCTTCTAAAATGCAAATTTTTATGCAACATATTGCAAATGTGGTCCAAAAAAACTTTTGTAGGAAAAAAATTTACTGTGAATAAACATTACATGTTCCTGGTTACCTGTAACTTGTTCAAATCTGCTCTGCCTTGAGATTTTGAGGCAGAAGGTAGCAAAAAGAGAAAAATGTAAAAGTGCTTTTTCCAAAAGAAACACACTTTTCAAATTAGGCACAGAGATCCTAATCCAGTGCATGCACCACCTCTGCTGAAAATCAGGATTTTTATTTTATTGAATACTTGAATACCCAGCTGCTTCTTTTAATCAAAACAAAACCACGTAGTGGTCTCCAACATGGCCCAACACTTGCATAATCATGACCACAGGACATTGATTTTTTTCCACTGCTGTAGGATAATGTAATTTCATAGACAGATTCAACTCCTTTGTGCTTCAGTGTGAAAGATAATGACTGCTCACTGGAGGCCAGATCTTGCACACCTTAAAGAGATGAGCTGTCCCCATTGATTTCAGGCTGTCACCGTAAGCCCTTCCACCTCCTCACATAGTTTGCATCAGCACATGTGCTCCAAGTGTGTTTGCTGGGTGAGGCTGAAGATCAGAAGTAGCAGCCACGATGGAGCTGTCTGTACACACTGCTTTGGGGAGGAAGTGTTGGAGTGGAGATGTCAAAAAGTGATGAGCCTTAAAAATATTTTTATCTCACGCTCCACTACAAGCTTTGCTTCCTGCGACCGAACACCGGCACAATGGAGACACTCTCATATTAACTCCAAGCAGCTTACATGACAAAAGTCTTTGTTGCCATGTGCAGTATCAAAGCTCCCTCTGTGTTTAAAAAAAGCATTACAAAATTTTTGGTGTTGTTGAGTTGCTTGGGTTCATTCACTCATTCCCCTGCTCTTGTGGCCCTTTGAATTCACTTTCCACCAAAACATGCGGGCTTAATATTCCCAAAATAGCTGTCGGCAGGAAATGTTAAGAGTTCTCAGTCTGAGAAATAACAGGGCCGTCTGTTGATCTGAATCACTGAGGGTGGGATTTTCAGTCTGTGTGTTGCTGAAGAGGAGGAGGGAGAACCAGAGGGAGAGCAAGTGCATTTCCCAGCAGCTCCCCGTGGGGTTTGCAGCAATGTTTGTGAGGGTGGAGGTGGCTGCAAACCCTCACGAGTCACTCACTGCG